GCATTGTTTACTTATTACAACTTGATTTAATTCCAATAATAATATATGTCTCCCGACTATAAAAAATGGATAGTAGTACAGTTAATGGCATTGACGTTGTGAAGGAAATTATTCAGTTATAAGATGGTGTTATGATGATAAGACATTCTTAATTAAAAACTTGTACCCTTTATATCCAATGTGGTCATATCTCCATATTAATTAGTATAAGATTATGATTATAATGCGACTGGTCTCTCATAATCTATGATGATACACCAACCGGACAATGTAATAAGTCACCGATATAGGCATTATAACATAATAATCGATTGATATCACGTACTCCAATAAGTAAATGTTGGGGAATGGATCGGACTTATGCATGTGTAATTTATAACGTACGAGTAGAGAAGGTTCATGTTATTTATAGACTGGGAACATCCATGTGTAGGCGGCATTGAAGTAGCTATGTACGTAACTCGTCTTAGTCGTCTAGCAGCATACAGTTATCGTGTGGCTGCCGTAGAGGTCATGGTGCACGATCGACTGTAAGCTCCTATTGAGATATATCTTGTTTATTGGATTGTTGTGGGTTATCTCTCAATTCTTAGATTTCAACATGAAATATTATTTTAGTCTCCTCCATCATCAATTCTGTGTTTTAATCTGCGCTGCAAATAATTTTGCTTGTCAAGAACTCAACCCTTAAAGTCTTTAAATCCTTAAACATTATAGCAACTTAGCAAGTCACCCCAAACGAGCTTGTTGCACCACAAGCAAGCAACTAGATAGCAAGCATTAGGAAACAATTTAATTTGGAGTTTGATGTAGCAAGAGGCTATTAATTTTATAAAACCTAAGTGTTATAACACATGTGAAAAGATTAATGTGAACGAAAAAAAAATCTTCATAAAATACAAAAAAAATCATGTGGTTCACAAACAATGCATCAACTACGTTCACAAGTATCAAGAGATAGTTTTATTGATCTTGAAGAACAACGCAGATTACAAAAGGTCGCTAGGTTAAAACGTAGCGACGTGAGACCCCTAGACATTCGAATGAGGCCGGCTAACTGATTGAAGACATATTTTAACACTAATTACGGTTGATACGTGTATTATTCATATTATTATTTTGCCTGACTAGTATATATATATCACTTAAAATATGCGAAGTTTAAGACTGAAAAATAATTAAATTAATAATCCATCTTGATTAGATGCCTGCATGTAACTTGTAGTTGGACTAATGATCTAACAAGTTTAACATCCAATTATACAGCAAGCAGTCAATAAGTAATATGACTTAAGTCAATCCCTCTTAATTAGCTGATCTATTGGATTAATTAAGGTGCAGCAAAACAGGAGATCAGCTTGATTAAGAAAAATCCAAGCTAATTTGCTTACTGCTTAGGTCGTGCATTACCAAATAATTAACTTAAATCTGGTCTTTCGCCTTATAATAAGCCATTTAAATCAGTTTGATGACCTTGCTTTGTTTAAATAATAACTACAAATTGGCCTATAAGCCTCAAGTTTAAAGATTATATAATGGCAATACAAAAATTGATCATTTGTCCGTATTATTACCTTCTTCAACTAGAGTCAGATATTTGTTCTCTGGACAATACAGCTGAGGTATTGCTGAGGGCTCGATCGATAAATGAGTGTCGCTAGAACTCGACATCGTTTCCTCTATATATGCTTAATTGTAATAAATCTCCCTCAATCAACTACTCAAATCCAGGCCGTCATGTCAAGGATGGTAATCAATGGTAATGACTATATGAAAAAAAATATTTAGGCCCTAGTCTCTTTACCTTATTTATATTAAATTGAAATTATTTTTACTGATTAGAACTTACACAAATTCTAATATGAGTGGGCCAGTCATTATGGGAGTGACTTTGTTAGTATTATAGAGGTTACTCGATGGTTACTTTGTTAGTGTTATAAGGATTACTCGTGCAGTGTTATATTAGTTACTTGGTCAGTATTACAGGGGTTACTCGGTTAGTGTTATAGGGTTACTTTGTTCTTTTATAAGCGGCCATATGGTGTAGCCAGCCGCACACAAAATTCACTATAAAATTAAACTTATTTGAATTGAAATTATTTTTTATTGAACTAAAATTATTTTTACCGAATATTGTGGTGATACTATATATATTTGAATGTGCATGTTGTTGCATAACAATTGTTGATGATATGAGACTTTCCTCACATCTTTTCACTCGACTTTTCTTACTTAATTTACTCAATTTTTTTTTTAACACCAACCTAGTTTTTACTTATCTCTCTTACTTAATGAGAAAAGGAATCATCTAACTTCCATTAAAGCCGAAGGGCCAAGTCGATCTGTACACGTGGTAACCTTAAAAAAAAATACTAGTAGAAGTCTTGCAGCTCATTGTAGTTAAGGAACCCATTAAATGTGTACAATTGGGATCAGTAAAAGAGTAATTAAGATTTGTCGCTGATTTCAGTTTAATTTATGTACATCTTGTGCCACTATTCAGAATATACTTCAATAAGTACCAAGTCAGTTCTCTTAAACCTGCAATCATGTTGTTCTTTGTTTTGGTTTTTTTTAACTCAATTTGGATAAACCTAATTAGATAAGGTATCATATATATCGTAGAATAGTTCATAGGGAGAAAATGAAATGAAATTCCAAAGATCACCTTTGTATATAGAGTCAATAAGAACACTTAGTTATATTAATTATATCGTAATTAATTGATAAGATTGATCTTTAGGGTACATAGAAGAGGTAATACGTAGTAGAAGCTCATGAGTTGGCCATGCGTTATTTTGGTAGGAGATTGTTACTTGTAGATAGCGTGGTTTGATAGATTTCCTTTTGAGCGTGTACATCTTGTGACCTTTGCTTGATATGATACTATTGAAAATGAGTTGTCCCTTAGGGCTTAATCACTTCATCCATTTTATGTATATACCAAGCTAAGAGTGCCCTACTAGATTTTTATGCTCCCTTCCCTGCCCTCCTCAGCTCCAAAAAAAAAAAAAAAAAAAAAAAAAAAAAAAAAAAAAAAAAAAAAAAGATTACAATAAATTGGAAAAAAGAAACGATCACAATATGTGAAGTATAAAGTATACATACATATAAACATAACATATATTTTTAAAAATGGGACAAGTCTGAGAATTTATAACAAAATCACATGTTAATTGATGCTAACTAAATTTTTTAAAAAAATTTCTTTCAAATCTTCTTATTATATGCATCACTTATCATTTAACAAACAAATGGATCTAGGATATGAGAAATTCTCATTACTAATGAGTACGAGAAATCTCGAGTGTACCCTTTGCTCAAGACTTCGACCAACCCCAACTTCATCGCGCACACAACCCCTTGCTCTTCTGGCCTTGTTATTTATCAGGGATCGGACAAACGGACATCCACTTATCAAGAAAATAACTTAGACGTGAGTTGAGTCTATTAGTATCGTCACATTATTGGAGAATTAAAAATAGATTGATTAACATAAGATTGGTGGCTTGGACTAATCTGCGTACCTATTTCCAATCGGCCAGTCTCTCCTCCCACCCCTACAAAATTCCCAAATTGCAGTCAAATTTATCATACAAAGTTGAAATTTTAGAGCCAGAAAAGCAGCAAAATAGCTGCATAAAATTAATTAATACATGTATAAAATAATTTCAACTATATTTTTTGGTGCTAAAAAATAAATTCAACTTCATAATTAGTAATATAAATGCTTATAACAAAGTTTAAATAAAATAGAATGAATGTTCATACCAAGTCTGCTATATACAACCATTGCCAACTGTATCTACGGCAGTCAACAACCACAAGGATGTATAGTACTAATTTAATAATTAATATGAATCAATAAGATGGTTATTAGATTACTCTTAAAGAGGTCAATGTAATGGACAACAAAGTCTCCATTTTAATTTAATTTTTGTAATTGATTAAGCATGATGGAAAGCTAAAATTTGTTTTTGATTAGTGTCTTTAATATTGGCAACTAGATGAAAGGTATCCCACTCATTATCATTATTGACTAGTATCCATGTGACATATTCTCATGGTACGAAGCTTCATTTTGTGGCTAGGTACCGTACAAACATGTATTGCTGAAAGGTATTTCTATCCAACTCTTCTTCTCAAGTCTCTCCAATTAGTCGACGGAGTTTTAAATATTAACGACTACTCTCTTTGTCTGAAAATAATATCCACATGTACTTTTTTATGTTTCTAGTCTATTTTCTGGATATTTCTATTTGGGGAGGCCTTGATCATGGAGAACCTTTATTATTATGTTACTTGGATGAACCTAAGGGGTAATTTTTCACTCATTTGACAAATTTTAGTTATTTAAATAATTTAAAAGTAGCAAACTTATCCAATGAGCAAAAAAAAAAAAAAAAAAAAAAAAAAAAAAAAAAAAAAAAAAAAAAAAACAAAACAACCTAGATGTATATGTAAGAATTTCCCTTGGTCATGATTTTGGCACTTCCAATGACCCAACACGAGGGCACTTGAACCCTCCAAAGCCTAAAAATAATGATTTATTGATTTATACTCTATAATTGTTTTGTTTAGGTAGCTAATACTTCGTGTATTACTAGTGAATCACATATAATTCCAATTAGGTTTATCTATTTAGTTACTTTATTATACCATTCTCACATCCGTTATAATAAAATAGTGGTATACAATTAGATTTCACTTTAATTATGCCACTACATACCTATTAAATCACAAAAAGACTATAAAAGCCATTTTTTATCATTAAAACATTTTCAATTATGGGAGTTTAGACAATGTAACAACTAATTTTAAACGGAGGTTATATTAATAATTAAACCACCAGTCGTTGAAGTTGTACCCTTCTTAAGTTGACAATGTGTTTAATTCGTAGATACCTAAATAATGAGAAAGTTGGTTGGACAATTGACGTTCTAATGCGTGTGCTTCTCATGTAATGGGAAGAAATGAAATGTTTCAATCTTTTATTTTTTATTTCATTTAAAGTCAATGGTTTGTAGTTTCTATAAGAAAGACTAGTACTAGTTCTCTCAGTCAAAGACCACAAAATTTTTGTTTTCAGCTGATCAAACTAAGGATTTCCTCAGAGATGGATGCAAATAACCGCGAGACCTCTACCTCTAGCGCCGAAACCAAACCCGAAAAGGATGTTCTTAAAGTCAGACATGAAGACCACTGCATAGAAGAAATGAAGGTAAATTCTTAGCTAGTATTATGATATGATATGATTGATGCTATATTTCTACTTTAGAAAGTGTTAGATTGCATAATAGATTATTAACTGTGGTTCTTTCGATTTGTTACATTTTTTCATATTGTAGACAAGAATCGAAGATGAACATAAGACCTTCAAGATCTCTTCCCCTAAGCAGGAAAGTCCAGTTATTAATAAAGAGGTATAGTAGATTATTAGCTTATTGTATTAGTAATCGAAAGCCTTAAGTTTTGTGTGTTAGTTTGTCGTTGTTTCAGTACTTCCGTAAGCATGTGCCTGATTTATGTTGCAATCTCTAACAAAACTTAGCATAGAAGATAGATTTAGTAATCTGATGATGATATAAAATTTAGCATAGAGCATGGTTATGAAGAAGAAATCACTGATAACAATTCATTATCGAATCTTTTATTAGCTCACAATCTTACACTACCTTGATCTAAGGGATTGCTTTGTGAATAATTTTTATCTAGTTCATGAGCTAAAGAAGGCAGTTAATTAACTGAATTCCGATACATATGATAGAAGAGGAAAGTAAGAACAAACATATCATGAACATCAATAACACTGTGGTAAATTCAGTATCATTAGTTTTCATATTAATTCCCAAATCATTTTAGAACTAAGGCTTTGTTGTTATTGTAGTAGAGTTCATATTAATTCATTTTTCATAATTCAACAAGATCATAATATTAAGTACGTAGTACATGAAGAAGAAAAAAAAACAAAACAAAACAAAAAAAATTTGTGTCCAGGTTCATTAAATGGAAGGAAATGATCCTTCACAAATTACTTCAAATTTTTTTATAGTGCAGACTTTATTTTATAAAAAAAATTGTGCCAAACCCTAGTCATAATAATAACTAGAAGTTTTACTAGATGGAAATTTGATGTTACTATATTATATTACAAATGGCAAAATTAGAGAGAAATAGTCGGTTGTAAGACTGACATTTACATTTGAATTCATTTAAAAAAAAAAAAAAAGAGTTTAACAAAGATTTAAGCTTTGACTTCCTACATCTTTGATGTCATCTTTTTGTTTTATTATGAAGTTGCTTAGAATTTTTCTAAATTTACGTTATCTCCTAAGATAAGATAGTTTTTTATTACTTACTTTCTCCGTCTTTTTAAAAGTTCTTCTAATTTGGACGCTGATTGTCTCACAAAAAAGTCAAAACAGGAAGAGATTGAAGAGATGAAAGTAATTTTTTTTTTGTAATTTTATTATATTACTATTTTCTAAGCTAGTAAGTAATTAATTAATTGATTACACAACACATGGATTAGATCTATTAATAGATTTTGTTTTGTAAGGTATTTATTAATTATTGCTTGTGATGTCGTCTATTATTTAGGACAACGAACTTGAATCTGCAAAAGCTGAGATGGGTGAAGTGAAAGAAGAAAATGAAAGGTTAAAGAAGATGTTGGAGCGTGTCGAAAATGACTAAAAATCTTTGCAATCGCGCTTCTTTGACATCCTCCAACACGAACAATCACCTTCAACAATATCGGAAAATACAAATCAGCAGAAGGAAGAAGAACCTGAAGTTTCACTTTGCCTAGGCTTACAAGTCAATAACAAGCGCAAGAAGGATGATACTAACATTAGTAGATCCTCTAGTATTGCTAAAGAAGGCGCGAAGTTGATGAGTGAAGGACTTTCCCTAGGACTCGAATACAAGAGTCCTCCGTCAATAAATTTATCAGAGAAGGGTTCAGAGAGCAAGATGTGACACACCAACTGTGAGTTGAAATGCAATGTCAAACAATAATTTTAAAGGTTATTTTAGTCAGTGTAGAAGAATTAAAATTTTGAAAATTAATTAATTGATAAATGCAGATGAATGATGGATGCCAATGGAGGAAATATGGGCAGAAGATTGCGAAAGGAAATCCATGTCCACGAGCTTACTATCGTTGCACAGTTGCACCATCATGTCCCGTTAGAAAACAAGTGAGTTGAGGTTTTTTCATTTGCTTCATCTCTAGTAGGAAACATAAAAGAAACAGATTACATGCTGACATGCACTTACAATTGTTTGACTTCAGAATTACAAAAGACTTTTTTTAAGAGGGAGTCCCAGTTCCTCGTTATGAGAAACACTTTTGTTTCTCATAATGACATTTTGGAAAATAATGTGTTGTTTTTCACTGGTATGGACCGTGTATGTGTCATGAGTGGGAGCCCCAGATCTTAACACATACCCCATGAGAAACAAAACTTGTTTCTCACAATGAGAAACAGAGAATTACCCCTTTTTTAAAATGTCTCATTAAAATCTTAAAATGTGTGCCTCTTATCATTTGTTTCAATTTAGTAGCTGGTCATTACTTATCCTAATAAGGATTAATAGTCTCTCTAATAGTTTAGCAACGCTGTCGCGTACATCCTACCACGCCCTTGCATCACTTAGGAGCTAGATGCTCAATAAATTATTGCTTGTTAAAGGTTCTAGGATAATAACATTATTGACGTTGGTCTTGTTGGCAGATGTATCAATGGTTCTCTTTAATCACATTTCGATCTTTACATTGATTGTGTAAAATTATAACTGGTACTATTTTGTGATATGTCTGAAGTTGCAAGTATTCTATAGTTCTTCTATCTAATCATTCTTTATCCTCTATTATTAGGTGCAAAGGTGTTGCGACGACATGTCTATCTTAATAACTACTTATGAAGGGACACACAACCACCCACTTCCAGTAGCAGCCACGGCTATGGCTTCAACAACCTCAGCAGCAGCATCAATTCTCTTGTCCGGTTCGTCAACCTCACAAGGCGGTCTTACTTCTTCAGTTCCCTCAATGACCTCGGCCAACCTCAACGGACTAAGCTATACCCTCTACAATAATTCAAGAACAGGACAGTTCAATTTACCACATTCTTCTGCACCAACACCACCAACAATCACCTTAGACCTCACTGCTGCTACTTCCTCGGTTTTTAACAAAAGCCATACCGCGAATAATTTTCTCCAAACACCATCCAATTACTCTTCTAGAAGCCTCGACTTTTCTTCTTCAGATACAAAGAGTACATTGTTTCCTGTTTCTTGGAGCAATAACAGCTACCTAAATTACAGCCTATTGCCCTCAAATAAACCTCCTGTTGGGTCCATAAGTTTCGGAAAATCAACTTATGAACCAGTAAGTCATCTTAGTTCATTGGACCGGATCAACGATCAAGCTTCCACTTCTTCCTCTTCTTCTCATCAATTTTTAACTGAGACATTAACCAAGGTACTTACTTCAGACCCAAGTTTTCAGTCTGCAGTAGCTGCTGCAATTTCTTCTATGGTAGGAAGCAGTAACAATAACATCACCAATGTAAATCGAACAAATAATGCTGAGTGTTTAATTACCCAAAGCATGAGATGGGCGGATCAAGTTCAAGGTGTTACAGGCAATTCATTGCCTCAGAATGGCAAGGGTTGCGCGCCAACTTACTTAAACAAGCCTACATCATCAACATCAAACTCGCAATCCGCAGGAAACTTCATGCTTCTACAACCTCCATTTCCTTTTTCCCTTTCGAAAAGTTCTTCACCACAAGATCACAAAGACTAGGTAAATAATGATTTATATTCAACCTCAGTACTAAACTCTTCATTTTTTTTTGTATCAATTGTATCATCGAAATTTCAAACACATTCAAGAAGAATGATTATAGCAGCTTATTATAGATAATTGAATGACCATATTGTGAATTCAACTTATTCCAATGTAAATAACGAGGTTTTTTTTGTTCCCTATTAATTACATTAATAGTTTGGCTTGCTCTTCGGTTTTCAACTTTGATAAATTGCCAAACTAAGCGTTTTTGGGAAACAATTTGCCAAACAAGACGCGTGGCAAAACTATTTACCAAACTAAGCTTCCAGAGTAAAACGCCAACCAGGATGGCGTTTTACCCTGGGCATTTATTTTTTTTTAATTTTTAGTCAAGGATAAAACGCCATCAAGGGTGGCGTTTTACTGCTGGGCAAATTTTTTTAAAAAAACACATTTACACAAAAACGCTAACACCGTTGGCGTTTTACTTTTAACACAAAAGCGCTAACGTCGTTGGCGTTTTAGAGTCGGGTATTTCTAACAGCATATATCTCTGTTCTTCATTATTCAACCAAACCCCCAAATTGCAAACCCTAACCCCGCGCATACCAACTTCCAATTCTCCATATTTGAAGCAATTTAATCACATTCCGTAGCTTAGTTTTGCATCATAGTCAATAAAAATTAATCCTCCTTCTTTGTTCAACACTGTTACGCCCTACTTTCATCGAAATTGAGGTATGTCTTGAATTTAACTATTTTACTTGTGTATGATGTTTTTTGGGAATTTATGTTTGTAATTTACAATGTATGTACTATAGTGTTGTTCAAGTATGCGAAATATGTATAACTACATAATACATTGTTGTTTAATTATTGAAATTAAGTATAGTTATATGTATGTTGTATAATTTCGTATAATTTATATGAAGCATTTAGTTGTTGAACTACATATATGAAGCATTTAGGGAATTACGAACTACATTGTTGAGTTAAGTACATTTAAATGTATCTTACATTGTTAGATTAAGTAGGTAAGTTAGTATGTTGTTGAACACTGCGTTGTATGTACGCTTTGCTTGGGGATTTATTGGAATCATTGTGGTTTTAGTTGTGCATATGTGTCACCTAATATGTGGTCTGATGTTATGTAGAACATGGCTTCACAATTGATTGTTTTGTTATGCCGTTGGGGGGTGAAATTTTGTGTGTCGGACCCAATATCGAGTATAGAGGAGGAAAAATGGAACCGCTAGCATTGAAACCTTGTATGACTTACAATGATTTGTTGAAGAAAGTTTATACTATAATTGGTTCAAAGCCAACAAGTGTTGAAGTGAACATCAAAATGAGGTTTGAAAGTGTTAGCGGGATTCAAATCTTACCTGTTTTGAATGACGACCATTTGGAGGTTTTGAGGGGTGTCGTTGCAATGAGGTATCTTCCTACTGATTTGTATGTGGAAACGGTGCCTGTATGTACTCAACAACCAACATTTCTTCCATCATACAATGCAAGCTCTCTACAAATGCCCGCATATAACATTCCATCATCTGAATATGGTTGCTGGTGTTGTTGTTGTTGCTGGTGTTGTTGCATATAACATTCCATCATCTACAAATGCCCGCATATAACATTATCAACTTCACCATACGCATTCATTCTTTTCATTGTATTGGTTGCTGGTGTTGTTGTTGTTGCTGGTGTTGTTAATGTTGCTGATGTTGTTGCAGTTATTGTTGTGGTTCCTGTTGTTAAGGTTGTAGTAGTTGTTGTGATTGTTGTTGATGCTCTTGTTGGGGTTGTCGTTGTTGCTCTTGTTGGGGTTGTCGCTGTTGTTGTTGTTGTAGTTGTTGCTGCTGTTGTTGTTGCAGCTCCTGTGGTTGTTGCTGTTGTTGTTGCAGCTCCTGTGGTTGTTGCTGTTGTTGCTGTGTAGCTGTGTTTGTGTGCAGAGATAAAACGCCAACCATGGTGGCGCTTTAGGGGGGTAAATTATTTTCAAAAAAATCATTCAGGGTAAAACGCCAACGGCGTTAGCGTTTTTGTGTAAATGTGTTTTTTTAAAAAAATTTGCCCAGCAGTAAAACGCCACCCTTGATGGCGTTTTATCCTTGACTAAAAATTAAAAAAAAAATAAATGCCCAGGGTAAAACGCCATCCTGGTTGGCGTTTTACTCTGGAAGCTTAGTTTGGTAAATAGTTTTGCCACGCGTCTTGTTTGGGAAATTGTTTCCCAAAAACGCTTAGTTTGGCAATTTTTCCTTAATATCCTTACCTCCATTTCTTTTTTAGTTGACACGTATTCCTTTTTAGGAAGTTTATTTTTAGTTGACTAGTTTTCTTTTTGAATAAGTTTTATACATTGCTTTTTTTTAGTGGACCGCTAAATGTCGCCCTCGAATCTCTAACTAACGCCCGTAAAATAACCTAAAATGACGTACGTAGCCTTGTTATAAAAATATTAATTATAACGTTGAATACTTCAGCAATAGGAATGGACTCTCCAACACCAACAATCGGTGGCCATACCACTAATCCACTACTATCACTCTCCACATTCATCCACCGCCTCGGCGCCGACCTCACCACTCGCCTCGACGACACCCGCCGACTCGCCGGCACCTTACTCTCCACCCTCTCTCCGCCGACACCTCGTGCACGCACCACCTCTCTTCCATTCGCCTCCGTCGGACAAGCTAAACCCCTGCAAAACGCCGCTTTGAGCTCCGACAATGTTGCCAAGTCTCTCGTCGGAACCTCCGTTTTCACTGTTAGCAATAATAAACAAAAACAAAAACAATAATAAACAACAACAACAACAACAATAATAAAAAGGGCAGAAACGAAATCAAAAATTAAATCCGGCTAGGAGTTCTTCATACGAAATCAGCCTAGATGAAATCGAAGATGAACTTCATACGAATTTTTTTGCTCATACGAAGATTGAGAAACCGGACGTGGTGGTGGTAGTGGTGGGTGGTAAAAGGACGCGGTGGTAGGTGGTTAAAAGAGCTAGGAGGTGGTGGTGGGTGGTTAAAAGAGGAGGCAGTGGTGGGTGGTTAAAAGAGGAGGTGGTGGTGGGTAGTTAAGAGAGAGAAGAGGGAGTGAGGGTTTTGGGAGGTAAATTGTATTTGGGGGGTAAATTCTTTTATCTCATATAAAGGTAAATTTGTAAAATAAATTTTATTTGCGAGCGTTAGTCGGAGATTCGAGGGCGATATTTAACAACCCCTTTTTTTATTATACCCCACTTGCTTTATCATTTTCTCTCATCCTCTCTCCACTCCTTAACACATATGCCTAAATTGAACGTGTCAACTAAATAGAAATGGAGGAAGTAATATGTATACTCTATTAGAAATGATTAATTATCTAACCATTATTGCAGCCAATGTTCTCAAATTTAAGTTTAACTCCCTACATTTTTGTAGTTTTTCCGGCTTGACTTTTTTGTTTGCTAATGCACACCTTAGATAAAAAAAATTATTTTAAATTATCAATAAGTAAAATATTAAAAAGTTTGTTAGTTGCTTTAGCACACTATGATAAATCCAATAACATTTTACAAGACAATATCTGTTTTTAGGTAAATGAGATTACATATAAAAAGCTAAAAAGGATAATACTAATAATAAGAACTAAGAATATATTTGGTTCATCTGATTTTGCCTGAATTTATTTAATTTATTTATTTAGTGCGGACTTTGGATTCAACCGTATCAACATCCAAGATTCATCTCTTTACGTTGAGGATAATTTTAGTGTTATATCGAGGATTGAAGACAATTCGTGAGGTTGAAATGTTGGATTTAGTGTGGCGGCCAGACCAAATTCCATAAGCCCATATTTATAATGTTGGTAATTGTTTATTAGCATATGATATTTTCTACAATTATTTAGCTTAGTCAAGTACTCAAGTGCTTATTGTTAAGATTCATGATTCTTCATGAATTATAATTTTGGCAAACATTAGAACTTTGGTGGCATCTAGTTTTAATATAGAATATTCTACACTAATCCATAAGTTTCATAAATATACACTAGTTGACTTACATCATCTATATATATATATATATATTGGTGTTTAGCAACACTCCCCCTTATTTTTCATATAAGGTTTTATTCACAATAAATAGGTGTACTTAATTACTCTGCTTGCTCTATTTGTTACTATATATTATCTAATTTTTCTTTTCTTTTTTTTTTTTAAAAAAAAATTTTTTTTGCTTTCATTACACACTTACGATATATATAAGGTTGACGATATTATCATCTTAAATGTCTTGGAAACCTATGCTATCAATAAATTCATGTATTACTTAAATTAAATCTATAATAAAAAAATATATAGGAAGTAATTTACTAATTAGTTTGTTTCATTAATACTTTTTTATCGAATTTGAGCAAAATAATAATAGAATATACGACTTTTTCACCATATACCCCTAAGTTATTTTTGTATTCACCATATACCCAACTCTTTTTTTTCAAATTCACCAAAAACACTTGAGTTCAAAATATTATCACCAAATGCCCTTAATGACTATAGCTGTCGTTAGTCATTAAGGCTAATTATACCACGTGGCAACCTATGATTGGTTGTCATTTAAATTAAATAAAATTTAAAGATAATTATTTAACTAATTATCAAAAAATAAAAAACCCACCCACCATAACCCAGCAGTAGCCACCGCCACAACCCTATCCCCGCCAATCCTCCGGCCGGCGTCGAATCTGCCGGAACTCCCGCGCCGACGCTACCTTGACCTCGACACCCAACTGCCGGCACCCCAAAGCCTCCCCTAAACCACCACGCTATTTATTCGAACACCCCCTCCTTTCTCCCTCGAAAAACGACCCCTCCCCACCGCTGGCATCCAATCACCCTTCCTTGCGTTGGCGAACCCCACACCATCTCCCCCTACCCCTCCCTCTGCTTTCTCCACCCCCGAACCACCACGCCAAAACCCCAAATTAAAAAAAAACCCTAAAATCGAAATCTAGGGTTTTGATTTTGGGGTTTTAGGGTGTCGAGGATGGTGGTTTGAGGGGGAAAAGTGGGTGAAGATGGGCGAATTAGCTTCGTCGACGCAGGGGATGGGGTTTGGCCGCCGGCGGGAGGGGAGAGAGGTGTTTTTCGAGTTGAGGGAGGGATTTTAGGGTTGCGAGGAAGGTGGTTCTAGAAAGGAGAAGGAGCAGCGGCGGGATAAGGGGAGGGAGGGTGGTCGCCGTCGCCGAAGAGCACGTTGGTCGCCGGTGTGGGGCAAGGCTGGCTGTTGTGGAATGGTGGTGCGGTGGAAGAGTGGCTGGGTTTGGGTTTTATTTTTATTTTTTATTTTTAACTTTTTTTTAATTAAATAAAATAATAATAATGGATGAACCAATTAGAATACGCCACGCGGCATAATTAGCCTGAATGGGAGTTAGCTACCGTTAGTCATTAAAGGAATTTGGTGATAATTTTTTGAAACTCAAGTGTTTTTGGTGAATTTGAAAAAAAAATAAAAAATTGGGTATATGGTGAATAAAAAAATAACTCAGGGGTATATAGTGAAAAATCCGTAGAATATATATGTCTTAATTGGCCTTTGAAATGGTGAGAATCTCTATAAGAAAAAATCAGAAGCAAAAGAAAAGACAAAGATGAAAGAGAATACAAATGATAAAGGGAAAAACTTTCAAATTATTCGTCAATATATTTAATTGTGAGATGTGCAATAATTTAAAACATTAATTATATAACATAAGAATAATGTGGTGTTTTCTTACCAGAAATTGTTAGAGAACCTGAATAGATTTTAGCAAAAGGGACGCTGTTGGACGCTGTTGAGAAAACAACTATTTGTGGACCATGTTATTGGAAATGCCGATGATTAGGACTTTTCATCAGTTTTTAAACTGAGAGAACAATCCTAACCGGATATCATTTGGTTTATTTTTAATATATAAATATAAGTTTTATTTTTGTTTTAATGGTGTATGTAATAAGATCAATAATAATTTTAGTTAGTTAATATATGTAACAAGAGAGAGTATATTTTTAGTTCGTGAAGAAATTTAGTTTAAAAATCCAATAGGAGGGGATATGACATATGAGTATATGACTCATACAGTCATACCAAACCTAAACATTACCACAAAAAAAAAAAAAACAAAAAAAAAACAAAAAATAAAATAAAAAATAAAACTTTGTGGTTTTAACGCTCCTCAAATTATTTTTATTTTTATTTTTATCCAATTAAATTTGGTAAATCATGTTGACTTGGTAAGCCCCATTACAATGGTCAATGTATTAATAGGAATCGACTAAGAAAAAAAAACATACGAAAAAACAACATAATTCAAGGATACTTGGGTTATGGTTACATTATCATGTACATTGGCTTGTACTATAGTCCAGTGCTATTACCAGTATATGTCTGGAAGTTCTTTTATGGCAAGAGAAACCATAAGTATTAAGTGCGGCAACTTAATCTACAACTTACAAGACTTCATTCCAGATTCAGCTACTGAGCACATCAACATATTATTATGTCCAATGCAATAGACTATGTACTCATACAACATGTTCACCTCTAAACAGCACCAGAAAATGTTCACGAGCTTGATAATAATAGCAGTAAAACTTCTAACTGTTGGATTTTCAGTGTAAACCCTTGCTATTCAGGTCACATCTTATTATCTAAGCTGCAGATGAAACATATGTATAGCAACAAAGATGGTTCCATATATGACAAAAGGCACACGACTAACAAATTAAAATTCGGTCCTTCAACAAAAAAATTGAAGGGCCAAATTTCAAAGAATTGACAACAGCAGTTATTGAATCAACAATTATTAGTAATAAATATAATTCTACAATTATAAGACGATAACAAAAAAAGTTTTATTAGTTAAATAAAGACGAGAAAATTAATGATACAGAAACTTTACTGATTTGAATTGCACTTTTAACTCTTTGGAAGCACCTTCCTTTCCTCTATGCTACCTTCAAGAGCTCATGGAATGCTTCCTGTGGTACATCGACTGAACCAACACGCTTCATTCGTTTCTTTCCTTCCTTTTGCTTATCTAATAGCTTTCTCTTTCGTGAAACATCACCACCATAACATTTGGCTAGCACGTTTTTCCTCAAAGCAGTTAACCTAAAATGGTAAGATAGATTAGATAACAATATTAATACCGAAAAGTCAACTCTTAAAGTGAGGACTCTTTAAGACAGTTGTGTACCTATAATTTATATATGCACAAATAAAACAACTTAGTCTAAAAAATACAAAGGTTTGAGTTCAATCTTTTACAGCTAATTTGTAATGCTGAAACGATAAGGCAGAAGTGAGAATGAGAGTACAATTCCCACAAAAAAGCGTTTATCAAAAGCAATTTAGCACTAAAAGAGGAGGGATGATTTGAATAACAAACCATCCTACCATGTCTGAAGTGAGCTTGATCGTATTTTCCTTCACTTCCAAGGCATCCTATAACTCACCTTCTTTACCTCCAAGGCTTTCCAAGCTGGCAATGGTATTAAGGAAAGAGATGAGGGCAGTGACAAAAAACTTCTAGTATAAAAGCGTGGATGTTATAGTGGTGGTCTGTGACTGAGCCCTCTAAGGTGTCAATGAAGATGGACCAATAGGTTTACCCAGAACGTGGATATACAGAGTCTAAATAAACATATGTAAAAAAGTTCATAGAGCAGATGAATGACAGCAGCAAAACATTAAAATATATTGCAGGTCATTGATATCATGCTACTTTTGTGATAGGCCTTAAATGACTCACAAAGAAGAAAATGAAAGAAGTTTGCCAATATATTGCATTAAATCTATTAGGATGATTAAGAATATATCAAATATGACAAGCAAGTGAAAAAAAGTTTCCACAATAGGATGAAATTAATTAAATCTTAAGTAATAAAACTCTACTACACCGGCTTCGTGATCATACCACATAGACGTGCAGGGTAATAAAAAAGAAGCCAACCAACATCTTATGTACTATACCAAACTTAAATAGCAAAGCATTTTAAATACAGTACTTACGTCTCTCTTGCAACAACCTTCGTACCAATTGCAGCTTGAATTGTTATTTCAAACATTTGCCTATTCATCATAAAAGCATTGAGGTCCATAAGAGAGTGCCAAGAAAATCAAACAGACAAGATAATGTTATCAGTGGAGAAGATATACAACTAAATAATTATAAAAACCTGTCTATGGATTTCTTTAACTTCTCCACCAATAGCCGACCCACACGTTGTGCTTTCAAAGTATGGATAATAGTTGCCATTGCATCAACTGGTTGTCCATTCAAAAGAATATCAAGTTTTACCAAATCAGAGGCTTGATACCTGACAATAACACAATTAGGTAAAATAAACAAGACCCACCCTTCAAAAATATGAGAGTGAGACAAAAGGGTGAAATTCAGACCTTTGTAACAATATATGCCTGCTCTAATTGCAACTTTCATTGAAGTGCATCTAGGTTACATATACTCTCATCTTGACACGTTATACAATTATCGCAACAATAACTAGTTATTAATCTAGTTAAAAACAAACATTCCGGATCCACTCGTTTCTGACATGATATTGTTCAAAATCTTGACCCTACACCAAAGAGGAGGCTCTTCCAGCTTGTATTTTAACTTCCGTCCATTCTCAGTAAGTCACTATTTCCCTATCGTTAACTTAGCTTCAGGACAGGAGGCCATGCTACGTTCAGGGTGTAGAAGAGATGACTACGCAAGAGACAACATTACAAATAACCAAAGAGAGTAACAGAATAAATGGAGCTAAAGCGCAGCTGATTCAAGTCCATTGAACTGACTCACAAGGCAACACATGCATTGGAATGATTGTATACATGGTTCATAATTGAAGAGCAATAACTTGACCAAAAGTCCAAGAATCAGGCAACAATTAGAGGCTCAAAATGGTAGTTTTTTTCAGAGTTGAATGTCAAAAGATAATCATACTTATTTAAGACCAATTCTGAACTACAACCAGCGTGCGTAAAGAAGTGGTCATATGTTTCTGGGCGCAGCTCAATATGCCTATATCTGCAGTGTCAGATCATGTGCATGAGGACTCTTGCAACTTTAAAGGAAGGATAACACTAGTGTCTTAAGACAGTTAGACTCATGACTTTGAGTTATCCCATCATAACTTTTAAAAAAAATTGGGGGTACGATAAATATGCTACCTCCGTTGTAAAGTTGCTCTATACCCAGAATTTTAAAAAAGTTAACTTGATATAAATAAAAGTTACCCCAATAAAAATTAAAGTTATCTATGTTTTAGTGATAAACTTATCCTATTTAAATGAATAAAAATCAAATCTCAGTAATAAAAATAGTAATAGTAATAGTAAAAACAATTGTTGAAAAGAGAAATTTTTTAGGAAATTTTGAAAAGAGAAATGTTTTTGGAAATTTTGAGAAGATTTATCCCAACTATTGTTGATCTTTCATAAAAATTTCAACTATAATTATTCTAGAAATTCCCTAACTATGTGGGGGTACCTTTCTTTAATGACCCTATGACTTGTATTTATTTACTGGTTAAAAAGATTAAAGGATCACGTTTTAACCTTTAGCCATTTAATCTTATTTTTATCAACAAAAAGAAAAAGAAAAAAAAAATACCCTAATTCCCTCTCACCCTCTTCTACTTGACTAGAATTAAATGCTTGCCTTTAAGTTTATTCCGATGGAATACATACAAACATAAAAAGATATGTTTCCTTAACCGATTAAAGATATCAAGAAAAATATTATAAGGCATGTTATCTTCACCTTAATTTTACTGAATTGAAATTATAATTACTGAAATGAAATTATTTTTGCTAAACCTAAATTAATCGTATTCAACTAAAATTATTCTTACTGAACTAAAATCATTTTTAGTGCAATGAAATTATTTTTGTCGAACTTCAATTATATTTTTACTGAATTGAAATTATGTTAACAATATTTGGAATAATTTTTTAGTGATGTAATTGAAATGTTTTCCGTACTATGAATAATATGATTTTTTTTTTTATTTATAAATATCTAATACAAAAAATACTTATAAATGGGAAGAAAATTATATATTAGTTGTATATTTATGGTAGATGTATGATGAATAAATGGGAAGAAAATATTAATATGGATACGTAATATATTTTTAAAGATTAAACAAAGAAAACAAAAAACAAAACTAAAGAAAAAATAAAAAAAATAATAAAAATTAAATAAACAAATAACAAAAAGGTGGTTTTGGAGGGAAGAAATACAACTGGAAGTGACATGTGTCATTTCAATGTTTGCTTTAGTATTAAGTATAAATTCACAATAGTTGATTCTTTTAACACTTTCATTAGCCAAGAAGCCAACAACATATGTCTAGACTAGAACAAAACAACCAAGGACCAAGAATGTATAAAGAAAGTATCAGCTGACAGCAGTTAGTAAGCGCAATATACAGATGAACGACAACAAGCAGTACGTGAAGTACAATGCTTATTAAGAGGAACCACATTTGGAAACCTATTAAAAGGCCTTGGTACACTAGTCCTCACCAAAAACAATTGACATTAACAACAGATAATTATTGCCAACTTGAAACCAACACAAATCAGATATCTATAATACATGTACTCCTTTTACCTGAGAACCCAAGTGCTTGACAAAGACAAGGGTATGAAGTATGAACACTTGAAACTGTAATTCGGACCAAGAAAAGCAAACTTTCATGAACGGACTAGTCTGGAATTAACCCCAGTCCCAACAGAAGATTTAAGTAATATAGTCTAGCGCAATGACTATGTTACAATAAATCAATAACAAGCTGCTATTAAGTTTCTTAAATCGATACACGTCATTATGAATGAGAGAGGAATAGATCAAATCATGTAGTCTAGCACATTGACTATGTTACAATAAAACAAAAACAAGCTGCTATTCAGTTTCTTATATCTCATAATTATTAGATACACAGATCACTATTAATAAGAGGGGAACAGCAAATCTTACTCTGAATCTTCATAGTCAAACGAAGCATATCCTGAGGTAATGCTTTTTAGCTGATCATAAAAATCAACAACCATTTCTCGCAATGGTAATCGGTACTTCATCAACGCCCTTTGACTGCAGAAATAACGATCAACAGTTGGTAAATGGTAATAATAGACAATACTAATTCCATTCATATAAAACACCAATTCAGACTAACTTAGATCAATAGGACTCCTCAATATGAAGAGTACTAAATAGAGTTTCAATCCATGAACATTAAGTTGACAAAAGAACAGACTCAGCATTCCGTAAGAAAAGCGAACAAATCCACTTTATTGTAGTTTAGCATGTGTACAAAAATCATTAACAGCTATGGTTCCTAGCCCGGATCTTACAATTCTATGATTCAAAAAAATGGCTCCAACCTGGATCTTATTGTTTGTAAGATCTTTTAATGATTTACGATCTTACGATCCACCAATCCGATCCAACATACAATGATAATGTAAGATGTTGAACCATTAACACATATCTTTATTACTAATTAATTCATGTCCAAAAATAATCAAAAGTATTCAAAATGCTGAGAAAATGACAAAATCAAAGAAATTCATTTAATATAATCCCAAGTAAGAATGAGCTAAACAATGCCATCTAGTATTAATATTACTTAATGTACGTAGTTTTTTTTTTTTTTTTTTTTTTTATTATCACATTGTCACAATATTAACAGTTTTATCCATTACTTAGTAGGACCTTACGATCCAACGAATCGATTCTTACAATCTAATCCTACCCCTCTCATCAACCCAACCTTGCTATCAACTCGGAAAAGCATAAAAGATTTCACGTGAAATCGCCTACCCCAACCTTCTCTTTTGGAATTTGTCAACGTCCACATAAAATCCCTAACCTTAAGAGAAACCTTTTGCTAATTCGTGAGTAATGTTTTGCAGAACTTGTCAGGTAAATTAGGATGCACCTACATTTTATTTTAGTTCACATTGATGGAGAAACCTTTTGCTAATTCTTGAGTTGTTTGGCGGAACTTGGCACATAAATTAGGATGCACCTACAATTTAGTTTAGTTCACGATGAGAGTTTAGATGGGGTTCAATTTGATGCATTTTATCGATCCCTTGGAAACATACTGAAAATCATTGTAGGCACGAAACTTCAAGAAAAATGAATATCACAAGTGAAAGTCTTTCAAAGATTGTTTGTAAGAGCCCAATCACACATGTTGATCACAGCAACGTTAATGCTAAATTGCTATTTACCGAGCTAAAGAAAAGCAACATGATTGCATGAGGCCATGAGGGTGGATGCCAGCTAGATTAATTAGCAAAGCTTTATGGGATGGTAACCAAGGTAATAAATCCCATTTGTATCGCTAGCCTTTTTAATGTTGCTAATTTGCCCCCCTCATATTTAGATGAGGAGAAAGAGAAAAGACTCAAAGATGAATCAATTAGACAGGTGTATACCCACCACTATTACCACTCTAGGAATACTTGATAGCTATCATTGTGACTTTCATCATTTCATCACCCACCAACAATGACATTTTTTGCATCATGGTCCGCGCATATATATATTGATCATTGAAAGCATTATTAAACATTTAGACCCTAATCCTATTTGCAAAAGCTTCTTGAAGTGTTTAAAAACTTGAGAAGCATTTCTTAGGCCAAACATGGGTTCCCAAGGAGAAAAGTTTTTCAAGAAGCCCAAAATAGTTTCTAGGAAAGAAGAAAACGTTAAAGACCAATTTGGAGCTTCTACCAAGTCTTTCTCAACAAGCTGTCTTCCCCTTTAATGAAACTGTTTTTGGACCATAATACCCTTATCATTACATTTATATTGCAGCATGTCCTAATTAAAAACAATCCCGCCTTCTCTTTCTTCATTAACTTGTTGGCTTGCTATCACTAGTCAAGTCATCTGAATCAATACTCATACATAATAATACTACATTGCAAAAATTTCAAGACCACAAGCACCAAATTATTCATCTAATTAAGTGAGATTTGATTTCAAGAAAGATAAAAAAAAAAATTAAAAAAAAAAAAAGCTATAGCCAATTGATCCAAAAATAAATTGAAGAGTTATCTTTCACCTACAAATTGAGGCTAAAGATTGGAAGTTTTTTACAGTGTCGAAGGAGATATAAGTCTGCCATTATCATGTTTACAATGGGAGATGGTATTTGTTTATTTTTAGATAGTCATAGATTGTAGGCCTAAATTTTGCCAACTAAGAAGATTAAAAGTGTATGTTTGGTTATAAATTGTTTGCTCTCAGTTGGTAACCTCGTATGAAGTAATTGGGTGGAATGCTACTTTACTTGCTTGATTATCATGTATCGAAGGTATGCTGGTAAATTTGACCCATTTTTTAATTCAATTTGACTTTTGCTTCAATGTGTATGAAAAAGTGATAGAATCTAGGTGTTGCAGACTTTTGAGATACTACATAAAAGGGATTACATCTCTAAAAACAACTTTATTTTGATTTGCTGGGTGACCGTTATTTGATTTTAGTAATAAAGAGATGAATTATTAAGCAGTAAATTATGGGCCAAAATAATCTGATTACAGAACAAAAACTGGCATATCTGCATAGGGCCAAACAGTGTAATTCGATTTCTATTTTCACAAGCAATTTAAAATTTTCAAGGCCTATCAAAATTATTTCTTCATAAACTGTTTCTAGAAAACTACTTCTAGGAAACAGAGGATTCAGAAAAGCTTGGACAAACAGTTGCTTTTGTAGTTGACTTAGTAATAGCCATAATTGTTATCAGCAGTGAGACAAGTGTTTTGTATCAGTTTTCAGGTTATTATAACAATTTCAGTACAATTCAGGCTGAGTTCAAGTTCAATCCCATACTCCTCAGTATCTGTAACTTGTAAGACTGTAATTCAGATTTTCTTTATCTACTTAATCCTAGCAATGGGTCTGTATTTAAGAATGATAGAGTTATATCACTGAAGCAACTAACCAGTATGATTTTTATTTTTCTTTTTGCCTAAAATACAGTCACTATTCGCAAGTGCATCCAAAAAAAGTTAGCAGCCAAAAATAAGAATCAACTTACATATATGGGGGAAAATTCAATGGCCCAGTTCAGTTCCAGGGAGAAAAGACATTACCTATCTATAAAGGAGTATTCGAGCTGCACTCCCCTACGATCAGAGCAAAGGGTCATAACAGGCCCAATATACCTTCATAGAGATTACAATCCACGTATATCAAAACTTACATTTCATGTTGGAAAATTGAAGGTAAAGCATGAAAAATCCTTAAGAGCTATTTATCAAACCACAAGGGTACTTGAGAGCTTACTCACTAGGAATTATAATGGTCGCTATAACGGTAGGTTCCCAACAAGATGTCACTCGTTTCTTGGGATCCGACGGCAAAGAAGCGGGATTTTGGACTTCAATTTTGCTATGGTGGAAAGAAAACCACAGAACATTGATATCAAAACAAAACCACCTCCAAGCGTGATTAATATATATATAGATTAAAGTAAGTAAATCAACTTACCTTCCATCAGAATATTCAAATATATATGGCACTGTTGGAACAGTGGATATTATGTGAGCTCCATATTCCTGCCATTCATATATAATCGTAAGCACCAAAGAAGCAACATTATAATGAACTCTAGGGAAGTCTCGACATTACTTATGTTCCATCGTCTTAAGGATTTGCCTTTTCACAAGATATAAGAAAAGTAGATAAATTTCATTTAATATTCTGAATATGCACTATATTTTTTCTCTCATCCCAGCATGCGGTGATGCATTACTTGATTCTGTGACACATAAATATGTATGTTATCGACAAAGGAAATTTGAATGTGAAGACAAACAGGTCAAACACGTTTTTCAAACCCAAATGTTTCATATCAAGGGTATTGGAGATGAAACATGTAAGAATTTGAAGTGCAAGCAACTGGTGGGGCATGCATTTTGGATAGGCAGAGAACCTTTTTGAGACAGAGAAAGAACATCATTTATTCACATGGCATTAGATAGTGATAGCTAGTTACTCCTGCAATGAAATTTCGTTTCTCATCTCCCCTTTCTAATGTTTGTACGTCATTGCCAATCTGTACACCCCAAATACACCAAATAAGCCATTTGGCTTCATACACAAAAGACAGAGTCTAAGACAAATAGAGGCACATAATTATTCGCCAAAGTCAAATTAATTTAAATAATTACTCACAGAAAATCATACCTGCTCAAGGCGTTGATGGAAAACATCCATGTGAAGTAAACCTAAGAAACCACACCTGCAAGATAGTAAACATATATAAAGAAAAAGGAATTCATATCACACACATGTCAGTGTTTCAAATATTGACATGAAAAGAAAGTACAATAGACTTGCTTTTACAGATATATACCTGAAACCTAGGCCAAGTGCCATGCTAGTTTCTTTTGAGACACAAACACTGGCATCATTACATGTTAGCCTCTCAATTGCGTGACTAAGTGCTTCAAAATCTGATCCATCAGCAGGATATAAACCAGAGAACACCATATGTCTTGCAGGCTTGAAACCTGGAAATTGACACAGCATAAAGTGAAAAAATGGGAATTTAGTAAAGCAACCATGACAATAAACCAAACCTAGGTGCCATATATCATGATCTCAAAAGAAGGTCCTTGCAAAACAACCACAAATAAAATCTCTTCAAAAATGTTAGCATCTTTTTTATGCTTAACACAAATCTTTCCTCCTATTTATTTTTATTAAACTGCATATCAACTCATTGGCACCAATAACTACATTACTACATAGTCCACTTTGTTAGAAGAGCTATGGTATCTGCTATGAAAAAATAACTATGGCTATAAGAGTTATGATGGATTTAACATTAAGAGCAAGTCAACATTAAGAGAAACATCTGCAATCACATAGTTGCTCTCCTTGAGACACCTAAGTTGGATTTAGTTCTTGCATTAGAAGAATGATGCCATATTGTAAACGGAAATTCATACACAAAATTACAGTAGCAAGGATACAATAAACGGAAATTCATACCTATTTGAAACCACCAATTTGGCCAGAACAAACCCCTAGCCACACAAAACCACCAACATCCACCCAAAAACACACAACTCTAACAATTTGGGAAAAAAAAAAATCAAGAGAAAAAACAATGTTATACCATTTTATATCTTCTTATTATGGCCTTAAAGACGAATTCGAGCATATAAACTCCAAAAGGAAGAGAGTAGGGGCGGTGGCAGGGGTGGGGGCAGTGGAGTGGCGGCAGCCGGCAAGGTAGAAGTAGGAGGTGGGGCAGGTGTCGGCATATTTCTATTTTGGGTAATCTTTGTAATGATAAATGACAAGCTTACCCTTACTTCTCCTTTCTTTCCTCCCCCCCCCCAATAGACCAGTCTTTCTCCTCTATAACCCACCCACTCTCTCTCCTCTATCCTCTCTAACAGCCATCACCATGGCTAAACATCTCAATTTCTCTCTCCTCTCCTACTCTCTGACCCTTGACGACTTGCACAGCCACCCTCATTACAATCACCGGCGTAAGAGGAACAACCACCGTCGCCTGAATTTCGGTCTATCTTCACCTCCAAGTCGCAAATTTAACTAGAGCACCTTGACCCACATTCCGATTTCTAGCACCAGCGTTCAATTCGGTCGCAGTGTAGTGGGAGCGGGTGTACTTTGAGGAGTAACACCACGAAATTGCCTAAGCACAACTCATGTGCGACGATGGTGGTCGGGGAGGGTTTAATTTTCTCTCTCTTCTACTCTCTTTGTGATGTTATGGAATTGATTTAATTTCTTCAAGAAAAAAAATTAACTTGTAATTTTAGATACGGGTCAAGTTAGTTTTCATGGATTTGGTGTTAAATTCAAATTTTACATTAATTTGATGGTAGAGCATTGGCAGTAATTAATCCATTATGCTAGTGTTGCAAGTGCCGGTGGTAGTTTGATTATTACTCTATAGTTGTGTAATAGGCGGTGGTAGTTTTGGATGGTGGAGCAAGCGCGTCTTATTTGTCACAATTGTCAATTTGGAAGGAAGATGGGTCTTTGGGGTATTATTGTCTTTTATTATCCTTCGTTCACTTTCTTAATATGTGTGCCAAAATGAAACGTGTCAACTAATAAAGAACGGAGGAAATATAAACCAAGGATATTACTGTCAGATTGGTTGATGGGAGGGGCCAAAATTCTAATTTTGCAAAATATAACATAGTACAGATTGTTACTAAGAGGCCCTACAAATCTACATGATAAAAAGCACTTTCTAGAGTAATTCAATCCCACATTCTCTACCAACATATTCAAGCCCAAAGTTGGTGTGTTCCTTGAAGGAGGATATTACTATGTCTACTTTGATTGTTAGTTGATTGTCTTGTTGAATGCCACTATAGCTTCTTGTAGAAACTCAAAAGTGGACTTTATCCCCAAAAAATTATAGATACTATACTCTTTTGGTCCTTAGAATGATGAGTAGATAAGATATAACAATATCACCCTTATTGAACATTTGTTTGCAACTCACCAAAATCTTTACTCTATTGTTCCAACAAATTACAATGTAACCACGTTAGTTCATTCTTATCTCACATATACTAGTATTTCTTCTACAGCCCCTACTAAAAGCCTAGAGAAAAAAGAGTTTTGCATAGATCTAACTAGACGAATATTAGGACTAAGCAAACAATAGAAGGATGTCAATTGTTGTTCCTGTGCTTACTAGCAATGCAAGAACATGTACCAAAATTTATAATAAAGTCATGTTTACCTGGAAGAGGCTCAACAACAGTGCGAACATGAAACAAGGTATCACCAATACGTGCCTCTTTAGTAGAACGCATGCCACTGACCACATAACCCACTTGGCCAGTGAAAAGCATTCCAGTAGGAACTAGCTCAGGATGCATGAACCCAACATCTGAAACTTCATAAGTTTGTCCAGTTGCAACAGATGAAATCTTGTCTCCTTTGCGCAATGTGCCGTCAACTATAGCCACATGACATATAACTCCTTTGTATTCATCATAATATGAATCCAACAAAAGCATACGTAACGGAGAGCCAGCCTTTCCAGGGGGAGGGGGAATCCGTTCTATCACTGCAGGAAGGATGTGCTCAAGACCCTGCCCTGTTTTAGCAGACGTGAGGAGGGTATCTTTTGGTTCCAGATCAAACATGGACTTAAGCTGGGCCATAACACGGTCAGGATCAGCTGTAGGTTGATCAATTTTGTTTATGACAGGGATTATAGACAGATTTGACTCAAAAGCTAGATAAAAGTTGGCAACAGTCTGTGCTTGAACACCTTGAGCAGCATCAACAACTAAGAGAGCCCCTTGGCAAGCAGCTAACGATCTAGATACCTCATAGCTAAAATCAACATGACCAGGTGTATCAATCAAATTTAGTAAAAAATTTGAGGGGTCTTCTGTACTGGCACGTGTTGCTATCTCAGGGTCATACTTGTAGAACATAGTAGCAGTCTGAGCTTTAACAGTAATCCCTCTTTCTCTCTCCACCTAAGAGTACTCAAATGTAAAACATTATCAGCTAGGGAACAAGGGTAAGGGGGTGAAGAAAAGCAAAGGTCAGCGTGAAAACGAAGCCAACTGACAATTGATGATAATATATATATATATATATATATATATATATATGCTTTTAAACTAATCTGATCTGTGCCAACGAAAGGTAAAAACAGATGATGCTTACACTAACAAATGAACACCACAGCAAAGAAATAATATTTGATTTCCATTTGAAACAGTAAACAATAGCACAAGGTACTTTTATATTATTTAATTTCAGTCTTGGCTTAGTAAAAAACTAACTTTCAGAAATTATACCAACAATCCCGTAACAGCAGAATCCAATCATGTACAGTAAGACCGAATTCGAAAAAAAATAAGCATTTCCTCAAAATTTTACACTTATTCTAAATTGGATTTTCTTTTAAGACCTTAGAGACTGTACTTAAATTGGACATACTACCAAGAACAGCATTAGCATAAAATATCACTAACAAAGTTAAGAACTCCACCAAACCCTAAAAGTGAACATACCAAAACACCACTGGCAGGGCTAGAAAAATTCAAAATGTATGCAGTCTTACCCCTATTTTTCAACCAAAACGCAGGAAACTTTTATTTATAGCAATGCCAGTTCTAAAGCATACCTCACAAAGCCACAATCAGCTTCCAAAATGTGTACATATCAATAAGATGATCAACAAAAGATACATTCATTAAAGACAATAAAGCCTGCTTGGAGAAATATGCATTTTCATAAAGAATTTGCCCAAATCCTCATAGGAAAAAAAAATTAGGCAGATACTTGTAACTTCACAAAAGATTTTTTTTAAGTTAATAATGCAACCTGTCTCAATCCAGAATCCAAAATGTACCCATGAGAAGGCTCCTTTTTTTCATAAATCCCCGAAATCTCACCTCAGGTTACTCCGCGAAATGGCAAAACGCAATGCACCGTATTAACCGGGCAAATGTCATAGTGCATAAAACAAAATTTACCCCTAACACAGACAGTATAGTCACAATAACAATAATTAGGTTACCACGCGAAATGCCAAAATTCAATGCACCATAATAATGAGGCAAAATTCACAATGTAAAATACTAAATTGATTAGACCTTTAAAAGCAATAATTAGGTTATCACGCGAAATGCCAAAATTTGATAACAAAACTAGTCTCTACATTCATAAAGTAGTTTCAGAAACAACAATAACAAAATGCAATTACGACAACGGCGAAAACAATAAAAAAAAAAAATAAAAAAAAAAAAAAAAAAAAGCAAGAAAAAGAATGTAGAGTGAACGCCGCAAACCTGAAGCTTGTCAAGGTACTGAGGTTGACCATGGCCTTTCCTAATAGTCCCAGTAAGCTCCAACAATCGGTCAGCAAGGGTTGATTTACCATGATCAACATGAGCAATAATCGAAAAATTGCGAATTTTTTCAGGTGGGTATTGACTCAAATCTAGGTCATTATCTTTCTGGGAATTCCTAGATTTTGAACAATATGAACTGGTTAATTTCAATCTACTCTCTACATCATTGTTGGGTATTCTTGTTGAAGAGATTACTGGGTATTTTAGGGTATGAAATTGTTTGATTAATCTTCGGGTTCTTGAGAGTCTACTGATTAAACCCATTTGTAGATGATTGTTGCTGGATCAAAAGGGTTTAGGGTTTATGCAACATGGTTAAAGGCTAAGATGAAACACTTTGTTTAGAAACTCAACAGCAAGGTCTGCAACAATACACTTAAATGAAAACGGAACAAAATTTGAGAGAGTTTTAACGCTCGCTTTGGTTAATTATATTACGCCTTTCATTTTATAAACACAAATTATTATATATGGTTGGTCACACCGTAGCATGGGTTACTTATTTTGAGTTACTTATTCGGGTTACTCAGTCTATCAGGGTTTATTTATTATGGGGTTATTCATTATTAAGGGGTTAATCTGTCGGTCAGGGGTTACTCTTACATAGAACACTCGTTAACCGACTAAGTAACCCCTGAATAAGTCACCTCTTATCGACTGAGTAACCTCAGAATAAGTAACCCTTAACCGACTAAGTAACTCCTAATAAGTAACCCCGGGCACACGGTGTGACCAACCACATAGAAAAAAATACCATTCTATAAATATTGCAACATTTGCATTTTAATTCATGGTATAGTTCTATAACATATAAGTAGAGCTTTGAAATTGACACGACACGATAACACGATCGAAATTGACATGACACGGTCATAAAATTATTGAGGAAAAACACGAAATCAACACAACACGACATGAAATCAACTCAAACACGATCCGTAATAAATTGGTCAAACTTTTCAATTATTCAACATTTTTTATAGTTTTTGATATATTTTGTGAATAACACGAAATAAACACGAACATAACATGACATGACTTTTTGACATCTCTACCTATAAGGCTATAAAATCTATACCTAAGATTGGACATAATCTCCAATATTTATGGTTAAAATAGTGATTTACCACTTTGGCACTTATTATATTGTATTTAAGAATATGTCCTTTGCCAATGAAGATAAATCAATGTCCTTTGCCAATGAAAATAAATCAATTTCCTTTGCAAATAATGAAGATAAATTAATTGACATATACTCCCTTCTTTTTTTTTATTTTTAATTGCAACAGATTCTATAATCGGTCTTCAATTATTGCAACACTTCCTTAAATGGAAATATCACGCACTATTTTTATTATAACTCTCACCTTACATGGTCCCCATTTTAACGTCACTAACACTCATATTCATTACCTATCCATTACTTTTACATAAACTATTACCCATTATCACTATCTTATCATTTTTTTAATTTTCCAACAGACCTCACTTACATAATATTTCAATAAATTCAACTCAATTGTATAAAACTCTGTGTTGATCAACATGTTGCAATTACCAGCAACATACATCATTTGTGACCATGCAACCCTACTGACGTCCTCTAAGAAAATAACACGAAGATCATTCGAGACCAACCTTAAGAGAACGAAAATTTGATCAAGATAAACCCCATAATTAGCTCACTAATTTGGCGCCCTAGTCTGTAATACCCCGTATTTAATTTTTATACGTATATTAATTTAAAATATTATTTTATGAAGTATTTAAATAATTTGAAATGAATTATTTATGATATTTTAATAATTTAAAAAGGTTTATTTTAATTAAAAGTTCATTTTTAATTATTTAATTGGTATGGAAATATTTTATTTTATTATTTAGAAACTTTAGGGCATGATTAATTTATAAAAAGAAATTTCAAGTCAAGGGAGTTTTAAAGAAAGTCAAATGTCAATTGGAATAGGAGTAGGAATCATTAAGGGTAGAAAGGGAAATTAAGGTAGGAGGATTTTGAGAGAGGGTATAAATACCCATCATATGAGCAAATAATTGAACTTTGCCCAAGGTGGAGAATACCCAAAGGTAAATCTCTTTCTCTCTCCTCTTATTTTTCTTTCCCCTTAATTTTTCCCTCTCCCCTTTTTTCTTCTCACCTCACACGCACACCACCACCACCACCACCACAGCCGGCCGCCGCTAGCACAAGGCGACAGCAGCAGCTAGCCGCGGGGAGGTGGTGCGCCGGCCACTCTCCCCTCCTTCTTATGTGGTTTAGCCCTTAAAAAAAAAAGAACTTCTTTTTTATTTTTAATTCAATCTAGCCTTGATTAATTATTGTTTTGGGGTGTGTGTGATGAGTTCATGGTGTTTTAACAATGATTAATATGTATATAATTTTCAGATTTAGTTTTTGAATTTAAAAGCCCCAAATTGAAAACCCTAGGTTTCTAAATTAATGTTTATTGATGAAATTTGATTGTAGCTGATTAAAACTATTGAAATTAAGGTTTTTAAACTAAATTACAACAAGTTTAAGAGTTTTTATAATGCTGGAATTTTTAGGTAGAGGCTAGAATTATGTTTCTTGAAAGGATTTTTAATTACCCATTAATTGGGAATAAAAGAAGGTGGTTTAAATTAATTTTCAGCATATTTAGAAGGTTTAAAAATGATTTAAAGAGTGTATATATTGCTGGAAATTTATTATGGATAGGTATTAATGTCTCTTTGTAATTTTGGGTTGTAGGAGACTTCCAAGTGAGTGATTTTGTGTAGTCGTGGCGATTTTGAGATCATATTCGAGGTACATTCGCGTACTCGGTAATAATTTAAGTATGTAGTAGCATGCTAGGCTTTGTTTAATTAATTCTAAGTTAGTATCATGATAGGTATTGGTTGGAATTGTTGATTTGGATTCATTTTGATGATTGATTTGTGAAGTATGAATTATTTGAGGTGAATTATTGATTGGAAATAATTATGTTGGTAAGTTGATCATGAACCACACTTTTTATTATTGGCATGATTGAGAGCATGTTTAATTAAACCAAATGTTTAATTTGGTTTGAATTATGAAAAGGGAATTTTATTATGGTTCATATAATTTTTATTGATGCTATAAGCATGGAAAAAGAGCTATTTAAGTGTCTATGTACACGAGTATTAAATTATATTTTTGGTGCCTAAGTGCACTTTAGGTGTTCTCGAGGGGTAGGATTTGTGGTGCATTATGCGCTTAAGGTGATTTAACGCCGAGGTAGTTTAAAAAGGGTTCAACATTAAATTAAACGTGGTCACTAATTATTCAAAAATTAAATTGGTATGTTTGATTGCTTGAATGATTTATGATGATTTATTGTGTTATGATTTGAGAGTCATCACCAAATCTAAAATATGTAAATAACGTAAAGCGAAAGAGATTACGCACGAAAACTCTTGGAACGTATATACCTTGAGTATGAACATATGGGGGGGGAGTTATGCGACTTTATATTTGACCATAAATTCTACTAGGAGTAAAGGATGCTGTATTTTCCTTTTTATTATTAGGCGTAGGAATTCCTCCACTTACGAGTGGTTCTTTTATACTGGCATAGTTAGCTCCCGTGGTAGTACCCCTTTATTGGGGCAGGTTAGAGGGGAAACTCGTTCGATGCGTAATCAAATTAAATAAGAAATTTATTTATTTATTGGTTGGTTATGTTGTATGTTGTATGCTTGTAAACAGGTGTAACAAGGTAAGTTGTGTGATGATAGGATTAAAGCATGTTAGTGTGTATAGTTTACGCTTATGTACTCAGTATTGCTGATTGTGTGTTTGTATGTTTGTTTGGCCTTAACTTTATCTTGACCCTACGAAGACCCATTTCTAATGGCGAGTAGTGGGGAAAAAGTAAAGAGAAGATTTTCAGGTGATGAAGCATATTCATGATGGGCATGAGTGAAGAGCGAATCATGTTTAGCTTCCATAAGAATATGATGTGTTTATTTGTTTTGGTTTTTATATAATTGCTTGTGTGACTAACGCAAAGGTTTATTTATTCGTTTGGGTTTTGAAAAGGGCGTACAATGGTTCCAAGTTGTAGATTGATTTTTTTTACTTCGTTTGACTTTGGTTTGACTTTACTTTCGTTTAATTTGACTTTTTAAATTGACTAGTTTTGAATGGTTTATAAAGAGAGTCTTACGATGTGTGTGTCTTTGATAATTGCCTTAGTTGTTATCACAGTGGCGGTAATGTCTTAGATTTTCCTATTTTGTATTTTAAAAAGAGTAAAACAGGTATTTTAAAGGAAAGGAATTTCTTGGGTGTTACAAAATGGTATATGGGAGCTTAGGTTGAGATTTTTATTACCACTAAAGCCAAAAACATGTTTTAAAGTATTTTGTTTTAAACTTGGCCAAGTGTTTAATTAATGAGTTATTTTACAAAGTAGTTTGTTTTATTTTATTCTACATGATTTAAATTTTTTTAGAGGACCGAAAATATTTTATTACTTTTTTATAGGTCCGAATTTTTTTTTTTAAGTGGGAAGTCCGAAATTCTTTTAAAAGAGGGGTGTCCGAATTTTTTTTATGTGGGTCGAAAGTTTTGGCCTTTTCAAAATTAATTTTCGAACTTTTTTATAAAAAAAGGGAGTCAAAAATATTATTAGTTTGTTCATTTTGCAGGAAAGCGAAGGATTAAGGTAAGAATTATATGTTAAGAGCTTTAAAAGCATGTTTGTGAGCATGGGTAGGAAATAATTTGGGGCATATAAGTTAGAATTATTCATGTTCTTGTATGCATTAATATTTAGGTTGTGTTATTTGATCATGTGAATTGAATGATGTGGAAGCATGTAATTATGTGATTAGTAATAAGTAAAATTGTTTGATTGAACATTGAACCTAAATTTATGCATGAACTGTGGTAGTTTATTTTTCTTTGGGAAGGGAATTCTTTTCTAAGTCTTTTCATTTACAAGATGCCGATCTTTCCTAGCAAACACTCACAAATAATTGGTACCCTAATTAAGAAAGGTTATGAACATCCCTTTGACTATGTCAAGAAAATTCGTTTCTATTGTTTACACATGACCGATGTCCCAGGAGACAAGCAATATGATATTCCTGGTCGTGTTTCAGGTATGATAGTTCATTGTCTTCTTGAAGAACCCCCATATCTTGCTGTTAAAGCAAAATTTGTTGATTTCTACTTACCTGAGGACATCCCCAATTACTCCAAATACAAAGATTATTATGGACAGTCGTACCTTGATTATAGATACTTGATTTCTTATCTCGTTCGAGTAGAGAAGTATCACTGCGAGCGCTTACATATTCCATATCCAAATTACTACTATGATAACCCAGCAAGGAATGATTCCCCTTCCACTAGTAATCAATCAGGAAATTCTTCCCCACCACAAGGTA